TGAAATGCTGCCTTCATGCGTAATGATGCAAAATACTCCTCTTGGTAGGTTGGATACCAAATAGGCATTGCTAGTGACTGTGTATGATGTCAGTGATGGTTTGGGCATCATTTCTGGTCTCCATGCTTTGTTTGGATATTTCATTGTCATTATTAGCCTGATTGTTATTGGATGTTATGTTTCTTGTGAAAGGTATTTTATTGTATTCCAATCACAGTCACCTTGTCAGGTTTGCTTGCAGGTACTTTTTTGATTGCATGAGATTTAGCTGTCCAGTGAAGATATTAGACTCTTCCTAGACTCTTAAGGATGTTGTACAGACTTGTAATAAAAAGATTAGGAGTTTATTTAATTCTTCAATCTTGATTTTATTGGGAATTTTTTCTTTATTCTCAGAAAATTTCAGACAGCTGTTGTTAAAAAATTTATTATTCTTCCTTTCTCAGTTCATTGTTTTATTTGACAGTGGTTCAGAGGGATCTTGGAGAGATGGAAGTAATTTGGATGGCATTCTTGCATCAATCAAAGATCTTGAAATTACCCCAGAGAGGATTAGGGAATTTCTTCCAGAAGTCAACTGGGATCAGTTAGCTTTGATGTATGCTCCTGGTCATTCTGGTGCAGAATGTGAAGCGAGGTAATCCGCTTTAGGTTTCTTGAATTTCATTCTAGCTTTGAAGATTAAAGGGGCTTTTTGCACTTTTCATGTTTTTTGCTTTATGTATTGAAATTGAAATATTATTTGGTCTATTGTGTTTTGCATTCTCTGTCATTTATTCTCCTCTTGTGCAGAGAGGAATAAATTTAGAGTCTTAGACATATATTTATTCATAATGTAAATTCTTTCAGTACCTTCTTGGTATATTGGTTCTCCTAGTCTAGCAACTCCCCCACCCCCACTCCCCCAAAGCCCAACCCAACACAACCAAAACTGATAAAGAACAAACATGAATGTAAACACGGGCCATCTCCCTTATCTATTTGACTTTTTATTTCAATTAATGAAATATGTTTAGATGACCTCATAAATTTTTATCACTCATCTTTTTGTGGAAGCCATGTGTCATGCCTGAACTGTGGTTATAATCACATGGCTTTGGTACAAGTTTATAGATGGTAAGCTGAGGGGAATGCTGTTTTAACAAGGGTTATTTTCATATTTTTAATTAAGGCCTTTTCTGTTGACTACTGTAAATTCACTGTTTAAAGACATGCTATGCTGTCTCGTTTCTGGGAGAGAAGGCATTAGATCAGTCTTGAAAAATTTTCATTTTATTTAGGTCTTAAAGAGGCATATCAATTTCATTAGAAAAAAAATCTCCTAATAACAATGATTAATTTAACAGGAGCAGATCTAAATTTAAGAAAAAGGCTTTCTAATTTTGAGATATGCTGCCTTTTTTGATTCACTGATACAAGCTGTGTCATTTCCTCAGCTGGCAAGTAAATCACTGTTTTTTGGAATCTATGATGATGAAGATTGCATTCGTAGGATTGAATTACTTCTTTTTTTTCATTTTGGGTTTCCCTTTTCACTGTTTGGACAACATCTGATCATATTGACTCTTGATGCTTTGACTTAGATGTGATTGGCTTCACTTACATGTTGAAATACTGTACTTTGTACCGATGGTAGACTTGTTCATTTTCTGTTTTTTGTTAGCATTGTTTGTAGATATCTTGGGTTGCTTTCATTTTGTTTCTGGCCTTAATTTGTGCATTTCTTGACTAGTGTTTCATATTCATTGATTTCTTTGAAGCATGCATCGCTCAATGAAGCTAGCTTTTCAGACGTCTATGACAATGACAATCACAGACACCTTAACCATTGTTGGATTTGAATAAATGTGCAAGATTTGTACAGATCATTCAGGTGGGAGCCCTAAATGAATTGTGCTTTACTGAGAACAATGGTGATGAAGGCGTCTGTGATGATTGTCATCACAGATGTCTGTGATGCTCTCGTTTCCTTATGTTCTTCCAACCAGAATCACTGTGTATGCATTACCTGCTTTATTTCTGCTCTTTTATCTTGATGCATTTGGTTACCCATTACAGGTGGTTGAATCATGAAGATCCCTTGATCAATCGTAGTCCATGGACTGCTGAAGAAGACAAGAATCTTTTGTTTATTATCCAAGAAAAGGGGATTGCTAATTGGCAAGATATTGCAGTATCATTGGGAACCAACAGGACCCCATATCAATGCCTGGCACGCTATCAGAGGAGTTTGAATGCTTACATACTCAACAGGGAATGGACTGAGGAGGAAGATGACAAGCTTCGTTTGGCAGTTGAAGCATTTGGTGAGCGTGATTGGCAGTCTGTAGCTTCAGCTTTGACGGGCCGCACTGGTACTCAATGCTCTAATAGGTCAGTTAACTTTTCACTAATTATTTCACATGGATTTGATTTGAGTGAACCCTTGTTAATGAACTGATTTACTACTATTTACTGATAAAGAAAAGAACGGTTAACCTGCTGCTTAAGGCAATGGCAAAGCTTATACTCTGCTGAAATATCTATTCTTTGTTTTAGTCCTTCCAAATAGCATCCAATTCTGTGATTGTTATTTAAAGCGTTAAACTTATCAGTTTCATCTTTCTTATGTGCTGTATGTAATAGATGACTACTATTTCTTTTACAGTTTTACCGTATTGAAATGATTCTTGGTACTTGGTACTTGCTTCTTTTTAAATTTTTTAAATCTCTCACTCTCAGTCATCTGTTCTGGGACATGCAGATGGAAAAAATCACTTCATCCATCCAGGCAAAGAGTGGGCAGATGGTCTGCAGATGAAGACAAACACTTGAAAGTGGCAGTGATGCTTTTTGGACCCAAAAACTGGAAAAAAATTGCTGACTTTGTTCCTGGCCGAACCCAAGTGCAGTGTAGAGAAAGGTATTCTGGATCTGGAAATCTTAAGGGCTGTTCATATCTTAATGTAATAGAATTGTAATCTTTTCTTCTGGTGGCAGATGGGTCAATTCTTTAGATCCTTCTTTAAGTCGAGGTGAATGGACTGAAGAAGAGGATTTGCAGTTGGAAGCAGCTATTGAACAACATGGATATTGCTGGTCAAAAGTTGCTGCATGCATGCCTTCACGAACAGATAACCAGTGTTGGAGGTATGTGTGAACTAGTGCAGTTTGGCTGGTTTATTAAAGCATCCGCATTTTTGTCCGGTTATCATGTGTTCTTTTTTCCAAATTTCTTGACAGCTACCTGTTCTCTGTTTCATAACCAGGAGGTGGAAGGCATTGCATCCAGATCAAGTGCCTTTGCTTCAAGAAGCTAGAAGGATACGAAAAGCTGCTTGTATAACTAATTTTGTAGATAGGGAATCAGAGCGTCCTGCCCTTGGCCCTAATGATTTTATTCCCTTGTCAATAATGGGTTCAACATCTAAAGCTGAAAATATGAATGCACCAAGGAAACCTAAAAGAAAACTTAGGTATAGTCCTTAAACGCTTTTTCTTTCATTCTCTTTGTTCCTAGTTGTCTCCCTTATTATTGCTAACCGTACTAATTTGCTTCCTGTTGATTCTTCTCTGTACACAGGGAAATAACACAGCACCATGGTAAGAGGAAAAATAGCACACCACCACGGTAAGCTGCCTTTTCTCGGTCCTCTTTCAACAGATTAGAAAGTTCTTTCATAGTTTTTTTTCTTTTTTTTTTTGTTCCCTGTTATTATGACATTTTGAAGTATCTGTCAATGTGTTGGCATATCTCCTTTATTTTAAGTTCTCTTCTTTCTGATACTTTTGAGCTCTTATTTTATAATTACAGTCTTCACCCAGTGAAGAGCAGACCCAAAAGGTGCAGAAAAGAAGTTCAAAGTAATTCTACAGAAGTCCATGAGAAAATTAGTCAAAATGAGGCTGGGGCCCATGGTGAACAACATGCCCGTGGGAAGGAAAGAAGATTACAACAGTATGGAAGTAATAGTTGCAGTAAACCAGGTTTAGACAAGAGATTATCACTTCCACATTCAGCAGTTCTAATAACCAGCCATGGTAGAGATGCTGAACCAGTGGGAAGCAGTCCTACTATAGAGAGGAAAGAGCGTCCCAAAAGAAATCCTAAAAGGCATTCTAGTAGGAAGAAATTTTCTAAATTAGGCACGGAACAGAAATTTTCTTGCCCTGAAAATAATAGTTCATGTATTGAAGGTGAAGGTGAAGGTGAAGGTGATGAGGGGGTACTTGGTGAGGTTGATATTACCAGGGAGAAGGGAGTGAATGAACCACAATCAAGATGCATGAAACCGTCTCCTCAAAGTTCGGTCACTGTAAATAATGAGGCTGCTGAGAATCTTTCATCAAACAGAAATACTTTCAAGGATGGAAATAGGGCTCCAGGACAGGAATGCGAGAGCAGAAACAGTAATGATCCATCTGGGGATGATGATATGAATCTTGCCATCTTTTGCAATAAATCGAAGAAGAGAAGGCGTCAAGTTACTGAAAATGCTGATACATCAGAGGCAGATGGAGATAACATGAAACTTGCTACCTTTTTTTCCAGTAAGATGAAGAAGAGAAAGCATGTTCTCAAAAATGCCAACTTATCACTTTCCAAAGAAGTAGATCAAATCAGCAATGCGGAACAATTGTTATTGCCAATGCAAAATGCCAATGCTGATACCCGTAGTGATGGTGCCACTCCTGAAATTATTACAGCCTGCAGTAGTTCAAAGGATATGCATACAACAGCTAGTGACAGAGAACTTGAGGGTATGAATATTGACGATTCTTCCCAGGAACCGGTAAGGGAAGTGGAGAGTAGCCATCAAGAAGGTGATTTTGAGGCTGGTAATGTTACCCTTGCTTGCATGAGAAGAAGATTGAAGAAGAAACAGGCAACCATCTTGGGAAGTGGGGAGAAGTAATTCGAAGTAATTCCCAGCCACATAAGGAAATCATGAGGGTATGGTTTTTGGGTAAACACTGTATCTTGAAAAGTGCAAATAACATTGAAATTTTGTTAAAATGTTCAAGTTCTTTTGTGCCAACTGGGGAGATTTTCTCACTTTATGGGTCGCACATATGTATTTACCCCAAATTTCAACAAAGAAAATGACGAAACAATGCTTATTTTATAGTGAAAATCTTGAAATACTTCTTTATTACAGAACTGAATCAC